GGCTAGAGTACTTCATTTTGTACATGGCTTTTCTGGAATACATAGCAGATCATGAGTATCTGCCAGTTCCTCTGCCAGTACGGCCTCCCTTTCTTGGGTTTTTAGCCTTAATGGTAGGTTTCTTTACTTTGCCATCAGCACCAGCCTTCTTGGCTTCAAGTTTCTTCTCCTTAGTGTCTGGCTTCTCAGCCTCTTCACCCACCATCTTGCAACACAGGAAAGAGGATAAAACCCTTCTTATTCAAACATTTTATTTATTTTTTTATGGGCCTTATCAGAAATTTCTAAAGATGTCTTGTTAGATTTGCTTTTATTGCTGATATTTATATGTATTTGCCCTCATTATCCCTCTAATTTTTGTTCTCTATATTTTGAGTGTGTATTGAGGTCATATTTCTTCATTGACTGACAGCATGTATATTTATATTTTATTGGTGTATGATTTCTTTTACTAATATGAAATCATTCATTTTATCCCTTGTGTAAGAATTCTCCTGAGAGGCAGAATCACTTATATGAGGTCTACGTATGTCCACGTGTTCATGAAGACTGTCAAGTCCAAACCATCAGTGTGGACCATAAGGCTGGATGCCTTGTGACACGAGCTGGCAGAAGCCAGCGTTTTCATCCTATTTAGGTCTTTATCCAATTGGATGAGGGTTTCACATTTTATGGAAGGCAGTTTTTGCCACCCAGGGTTTACTAATTTAAACGTTCATCTCTGTGTTTGCTCCAGAAATTTAAAAGAAGAAATCTCCTCCCTTATAACAATTTTTGCCAGAAATTCAAACTTTATATTGTTATTCTAGGTTTCTTCTGGCCTGTTAGCATTTTCTATTACACTATTTTTTAAATCTGTCACTTGTAAAAAAAAATCATTGCTAGGTCTACCCTAAAAAACTACATTCTGCAATTCTTATGATTGATAAAGTTAATTTCACATCTACTGTAATTTCTGACATATTGGAACTATACTTGCCGGTTTTTCAAGTTTTATTTTCATTATTCTTTCTTTGTTGCCTAATACTTGACAGATCATATTTTCTTTTATTTGTATTTTAATTTTATTCTTATAGTTACCCTAATTTACTACATATTACTTTTTTTTGTTTCTGGTCATAGGGCTTGAACTCAGGGCTTGGGAATTGTCCCTGAGCTCTTTTGCTCAAGGCTAGCACTCTACTACTTTGAGCCACAGCACCACTTCCAGTGTTCTGGTGGTTAATTGGACATAGGAGTCTCACAGACTTTCCTGCCCAGGCTGGCTTTGAACCAGATCTCAAACTCCTGAGTAGCTAGGATTACAAGCTTGAGCCACAATTGCCAAGCTGGTGGCTTGTCATTGCCCTTGTAAACATCTGAAGTTTAGTAAATTATTTCTTCTCTCTAGATTCTTACTTTCTACTAGTAGTGGCTTAGTTCCAGGCTGTTTGGGATACCTTCTCTCTGGCCAAATATTGTTATATGTGAGCCAGGTGATGCCCCTATATTATTCTATTTGCTGTGTGTTTGAAAATAGTCATCAAACAAACTAAAACACAGCTAACAAAAAAAGGTAAATGTACTAAACAAAATTTTTCAGTCATCTCAGATTCTGGGGGAAAAAAATCCATTTAACCCTGATAAGTATATCCTCATTTTTTTTCTATTTATAAATGATAAGTACAAGATCTCTAATATCTTCAAGTTCTCATCAGCTTTCAGGAGCTACTTCTTGACTTTTCAAAGAAAAAGTAAAGGACAGATGAAAATCCCTTTACTTAGCATTGTTACA